ACGACATTATTTTTAGGGAGGCAGTGGGTCTATTCTTGTTTCTGCTCCCAATGGCACCGAGGACTCTTTTCTTCTGGTGGTATAGAGTACCGGCACCCTTTCTGTTCATCATTTTTCTGGGCACTACTCTAATAAACACTTTGTGCTGTGTACCTGTAACTTTTAAAACACTCCCTATGGTAAGTACCGGTACTTTTCTAGAAAAAAATTAGTTCAAGTTTCATTCAGTTTCAAAATGTATATAATCAACTCCTAAATTTCTTCTTCTTCTTCTTCTTGTTCACCGGCTGTGAATTCCGGCGGTAAGTCGCGGTTGTTCGTCCAAAATGGACTTTTGGCTTTTACCTTGACCTGAGTTTTGAATTAAAGTACACATGCATAAGAAATCTTCTTCTGCTTCTGCTTCTTCTTCGCGTTCACCAACGTTCACACTCTGGTGGAAAGTTTTGGTTGTTCATCTACTTTTGGACTGCAGCTCAGTTCCAGAACCTGAGTGTTACGTGTGCATCCGTTTTACAGATCTGACTCATTTGTATGCAGGCTGTTGGTTCATTGTGTCTCAGGCAGATGCACTCGGACTTCGAAAGAAGCTCCAAATAAGTCAACTCTTACGACATGCTTAAGGGTTGGCAGTGGGTCTATTCTTGTTTTCCCTATACGCAGTAAGGCCTTTTTTGGGAAAGGGGTTGGGGTGGGGGGTGGTTTGGGTTCAGAGTGACTGTAATAGGCACTTTGTAGTGAGTACTGCACCTTTTTTAGACACTGTTGTGAGTACTGCACCTTTTTTTTAGACATTTGTGGTGAGCACTGCATCTTTTTTTTAGACTCTCTGTGGTGAGTACTAAACCTTTTTTTTTAGACACTCTGTGGTGAGTACTGAACCTTTTTTTTTAGACTCTCTGTGGTGAGCACTGCATCTTTTTTTAGACACTTTGGTGAGTACTGAACCTTTTTTTAGACACTCTGTGGTGAGTACTGAACCTTTTTTTAGACTCTCTGTGGTGAGTACTGAACCTTTTTTGAGACACTCTGTGGTAAATACTGCACCTTTTTTTAGACACTCTGTGGTGAGTACCGGCAATTTTTTGGGGCGAGGTCTAGATTTAAAAAAAAAAGTTATGAGTATCTAAGTTAGTTGCATAATCTTTACAAACACTAATATTTTGTTTCTGGTTGTTATGGTTTTTCTAGGCAAATTTTAAGTTCAGTAGTTTGCCATTGCCCCTGAACAGTCGGCATCGTCAAAACCAATGCAAGATAAATCATCCACAGCTGGGATCGTACCCAGCACTCTGTCATTGCGAAGCTCAATCGCAATGCCTCAGCCACAGACGCAAAATACGTATCTACAACTGATTTACTTCAGGTATGGGTTCCAGGAAATACCCTCACCCCCCTCCCCCAGCCACACACCACACTTACAATCATTTCATTGAAGGTGACATCCACATGTGGGTTCCAGGAAATAAGAAATAACCCCCCCCCCTCCCCCAACCACACACCACACTTACAATCATATCATAGAAGGCGACATCCACATGTGGGTTCCAGGAAATAAGGAATACCCCCCTCCCCCAGCCACACAACACACTTACAATCATATCATTGAAGGCGACATCCACATGTGGGTTCCAGGAAATAAGGAATACCCCCCTCCCCCAGCCACACAACACACTTACAATCATATCATTGAAGGCGACATCCACATGTGGGTTCCAGGAAATAAGGAATACCCCCCCTTCCCAAACCACACACCACACTTACAATCATATCATAGAAGGCGACATCCACATGTGGGTTCCAGGAAATACCCCCACCCCCCCCCCCATCTCCCCAGCCACACACCACACTTACAATCATATCATATGAAGGCGACATCCACATGTGGGTTCCAGAAAATAAGAAATACCCCCCCCCCCCCAACCACATACCACACATACAAACATATCATAGAAGGCGACTTACCCATGTGGGTTCCAGGGCCCCATTTTGGGGAAAAACAAGAATAACCCACTGATAAACCCACTGCCTCTGCAACAAGCATGTTGTAAGAGACAACTAATTGGGTGTTTCCTTCGAAGTCGGAGTGCATCAAGATGAGAGGCAAGGAACAAACAGTCTGCATACAAATAAGTCAGATATGTAAAAGGGATGTGCACGCAGCACTCCCATTCTGGAACAAATCTAAAGTACTGAGGTGGATGAACAGCCAGAACTCTCTGCAGGAGTCTATAGCCTGAGAATGCCAAGAAGACGTAGATAAAAGGTAACTAATAAGGATTTCCTTCTTTTCTTCTTCAGTCACCCCCCCCCCCTCCCTCAAGCTTGCAGGCCGTAGGAATAATATCTCAAGGATGAGAATCAAACAGCTATAAATCCGGGAAACCTTATTCAACCCTACTGCCTGCCATATAGTACAGTTAAATGGGAGCACCACAAAAGGATTGCAAAGTTAACTTGAGTCTGTGTGAGTGAGTGTTTCATTCTTCTGGGTTTTTTTTTTCCTCCTATATTTTACAGACTGACTCGGTGGGTGATGTGGTCAACATCAAACTAGCTGCTTTTACTTCCCAGAACTTTGAGGCTGGGTTGATCTGGGAGCCGAGATAATTTTTGAAAAGGAAAAAGTACAGCTCCGCCGGGACCTGAATGAATTACCTTTGGATCCAAAGGCGAGTGTCAAGCCACTAAACCACACAGACTATTCAATTTACTGCCTGGCATATTTCAGTACACCTCGTCAAGTGCATTCTACAGTACGAATTGGTGAAAATGAAGCAGATAAATGGCTAAGAGTTTCTGACACACACACTATGATAACAGTGAAAACAAGGGAACCTACCCTACCTTGAGAAATTTCGATGAAAAAAAAAAAAACTGTGTAGTAATTTCCCTTAATTTGTATTTATAGCATTTTCATGTTACTACGATTAACCTTCCTTTGGCCACAGCGGACCAGTTGTCTTCTTCTTCTCCTTCTCTTAGCGTTCACCGGCTGCAAACTCAGGCGTAAAGTTCTGTCAGTTCACCCCCTCCTGCACTTTGGTCCTTTTACAGAACTTGAGTCTTGCTTGTACATTTGTTTTACAGACCTGGCTTATTTGTATGCAGACTGTTGGTTCTTACCTCTCAGGCAGATGCACTCCAACTTCAAATGAAACACTCTAACCAAATGCTTGTTGGCGGGCAGCAGGTCTATTCCCCCCCCCCCCTTTTTCCCCCAACTTCAAAAATAAAATAGGTTCTTGGAAACCCATACACGGATGATAACAAAATTACAATGATAACTGTTCACATGACAGCTAATAATAAAGGTTGATAAGAAAGACAATAATGGTTAACTCATATCTGCATATGTCTCATACATAAACACAATGTAGAATTTTGCAGAACTCTTTTCAGCTGCAAAAGTTATTGCTGTGGATTCTTAAAATGAAGGGATCAAATAATGAGACTCAAGACAGCAATGCAGTAACTAGACATTGTCAAGACAGTGATCAAATAATCAAACTGTCTAGACAGTAATCAAATGATGAGTCTTTGCCAAGACAGTCATCAAATGGTGAGACAGTGTCAAGACAGGGACTAAATGGTGAGACAGTATCAAGACAGTGACTAAATAGTGAGAGAGTGTCTATGCAATGATCAAATGGTGAGATAGTGTCAAGGCAGTGATCACATGGTGAGATAGTGTCAAGATAGTGATTAATGGTGAGATAGTGACAAGACAGTGACTAAATGCTGAGACAGTGTCAAGGCAGTGACTAAATGGTGAGATAGGTTCAAGGCAGTAACTAAATGGTGAGATAGTGTCAAGACAGTGACTAAATTGTGAGATAGTGTCAAGACAGTGACTAAATAGTGAGGTAGTGTCAAGACAGTGACAAATGGTGAGATAGTGTCAAGATAATGATGAAATAGTGAGATAGTGTCTAGGCAATGATCAGATGGTGAGACAGTGTCAAGACAGTGTTCAAATTGTGAGATAGTGTTAGGACAGTGATCAAATGGTGAGATAGTGTCAAGACAGTGATCAAATGGTGAGATAGTGTCAAGACAGTGATCAAATGGTGAGATAGTGTCAAGACATTGATCAAATGGTGAGATAGTGTCAAGACAGTGATCAAATGGTGAGATAGTGTCAAGACAGTGATCAAATGGTGAGATAGTGTCAAGACAGTGATCAAATGGTGAGATAGTGTCAAGACAGTGATCAAATGGTGAGACAGTGTCAAGACAGTGACTAAATGGTGAGACAGTATCAAGACAGTGACTAAATGGTGATAGAGTGTCTATGCAATGATCAAATGGTGAGATAGTGTCAAGGCAGTGATCACATGGTGAGATAGTGTCAAGATAGTGATTAATGGTGAGATAGTGACAAGACAGTGAATAAATGCTGAGACAGTGTCAAGGCAGTGACTAAATGGTGAGATAGGTTAAAGGCAGTAACTAAATTGTGAGATAGTGTCAAGACAGTGACTAAATTGTGAGATAGTGTCAAGACAGTGACTAAATAGTGAGGTAGTGTCAAGACAGTGACAAATGGTGAGATAGAGTCAAGATAATGATGAAATAGTGAGATAGTGTCTAGGCAATGATCAGATGGTGAGACAGTGTCAAGACAGTGTTCAAATTGTGAGATAGTGTTAGGACAGTGATCAAATGGTGAGATAGTGTCTAGGCAATGATCAGATGGTGAGACAGTGTCAAGACAGTGTTCAAATTGTGAGATAGTGTTAGGACAGTGATCAAATGGTGAGATAGTGTCAAGACAGTGATCAAATGGTGAGATAGTGTCAAGACAGTGATCAAATGGTGAGATAGTGTCAAGACAGTGATCAAATGGTGAGATAGTGTCAAGACAGTGATCAAATGGTGAGACAGTGTCAAGACAGTGATCAAATGTTGAGACAGTGTCAAGACAGTGATCAAATGGCGAGATAGTGTCAAGGCAGTGATCAAATGGTGAGATAGTGTCAAGACAGTGATAACATTGGTTACTGAGTAAACTGTCTAGCTATAGCCGCTGTCAAACAAGTAGGTGCCGATCTGTGCCGACACGTCATCCCACAGTACAGCTTGCCGTCTTTGAGCATGAACTGTTGGTTGAGCAGGTTGCGCCCACACGAGTGACAGCTGGAGGTCAGAAACAACACAGCACATTATAAATAATGTCACACTGGGTGTTGAAATAGGTAAAAAAATATACATATAAATACAAGGGGAATTCAATGAGCAAGTCACAAATGGTTGTAAAAAAAAATAATAAAAAATAAAGATGATAACAACTTGCAAACTGTTTACTGTTACACATCTCTTTATTTTTCAACATATTTTCCACCAACATTGATGCACTTGTCCCATCGTTTTATCAGTCCTCCTAAACCTGGTGCATAAAACTGCGTGCTCTATTTTCTAAACAACATTTTTTCTTCACATTCAACTTCTGCATCATTCATGAAATGTCTCCTACCAAGGTGGGTTTTCAGTGGACAAAAAAAAGTGGAAACTGATAGGGGCTAAATCAGAGCTGAACAGTAGATGTTCCAGAAGTTCCCCCCCCCCCCCCCCCCAGAGGTTAATTTTCTCCTTTGTTAAATGCATCTCAACATGACCACATATGGTTCGGCATTGTCAGAATGAGCAGTACTTCTTTAGTCAGCAGGCCTTCATCAATAATTTTAGAGCAACCAAGTGAACTTTTTTTAACCAGCTATGCGCCAGTTTACGGGGTAAACATTTGTCAGCATAAACATGGAGCATTTCCTTGCAAATATCCTTTGCAAGCAGGCCCTCCCCCCCCCCCCTCCCCCACAAGAAAAAAATGCACAACTGCACGTTGTTCTCTGAGAGTGCATGCCGTAAGAACAGTCTACATTTTGTTTCTGTGTTGTGAATGTGCATGCAACACCTAGCTCCACCTAACCAAGGAGACATACAATTTGATGTTTGTGTCACCTAAAGACACCTTTAGAAACCACCAACTACATTTTCCTGCCATCCCATAACCATTTGTGACTTACTTAATGACTTCCCTTGTATAAATATATGTGCCCATACTTTTCCATTGTGGCATCCGTGGCTAAGGCGTTGCGAGTCCGACTCGTGAGCCAGCATACCGCGATCGAAACCTACTGCAGGCTGCGTGGATTTTTGTCGTGGTATGGGACGTCGCAGGTCGACCCAGCCTAAAATGGGTACCAGGATGGGCTGTCCTGGGAAAGTAAAGACAGCCAGCGTAATGCTGACCACATTACCCACAGAGTGCTGATGGTCTGTAAAATATGGGACGCTCTGCCCATATGCTCGATGCGCTGAAAGGCGTGAAAAGGGATCTTTACTTTTTTTTTTACTATACTTTTCCATTCATAGCAAAAATAAATTATTTTTTTTAAACCATTTTCATTTATATAGTATGCTCTACATGACATATGAAGTATATTCATGTAGCATCCAAAGGCATACAAAGAAGATGTATATGTATGTAACATCCAAAGGCATACAAAGAAGAAGTATATTCATGTAACATCCAAAGGCATACAAAGAAGAAGTATATTCATGTAACATCCAAAGGCATACAAAGAAGAAGTATATTCATGTAACATCTAAAGGTGACAAAGAAGAAGTATATTCATGTAACATCTAAAGGTGACAAAGAAGAAGTATATTCATGTAACATCTAAAGGCATACAAAGAAGAAGTATATTCATGTAACATCCAAAGGCATACAAAGAAGAAGTATATTCATGTAACATCTAAAGGTGACAAAGAAGAAGTATATTCATGTAACATCTAAAGGTGACAAAGAAGAAGTATATTCATGTAGCATCCAAAGGCATACAAAGAAGATGTATATGTATGTAACATCTAAAGGCATACAAAGAAGAAGTATATGCTTGTAACATCTAAAGGCCCTCCGTGTGGGTTCCGGGGTCCCATTGTGGGGGAAAACAAGAATAGACCCACTGCCTCCCCAAAAGCATGTCGTAAGAGTCGACTAATTGGGGAGCTTCCTTTGAAGTCGGAGTGCATCTGCCGGAGAGGCAAGGAACCAACAGTCTGTATTCAAGAGAGTGAGATCTGTAAAACTGATGCACACGCAACACTCAGGTTCTGGAGCAGGACTGCAGTTCAGTAGTGGACGAGCAACCAGAACCTTCCGCCAGAGTTTACAGCTGGTGAACGCGCAGAAGAAGAAGAAGACATCTAAAGGCGTATAAAGAAGAAGCATATGCGGGTAACATCTAAAGGCGTACAAAGAAGAAGTATATGCATGTAACATCTAAAGGCGTACAAAGAAGAAGTATATGCATGTAACATCTAAAGGCTTACAAAGAAGAAGTATATGCATGTAACATCTAAAGATGTACAAAGAAGAAGAGACACAGGGAAATGAAAATTGTTTATTGCCTTAAATGTAATTTTTCTTACAATCCATGCTGTGTGGTGTTGGTAGTTCTTTTTCTTCCTTCATTCACTTAAAATAAATTATCTGTATCTGCAATGTTGTCTCTAGTATGAACTTTGCTGTCTTTTGTAATTCACTTAGCTGCCCATGAAGTTTGGTTTCCACTAGTGTCTCTCTTGGCCAGAAGTTTTGCCTGGAAATGTTGTTGCATCTATCCATGGAGAGTTATGGAGTACGTGATATGTTGTCTCGGGTGCCAGTCCACATTTGCACATGGCTGATTTGCCAATCTTAAATTTTTTTGAATACATGTGGCTAAGGAAGTCGACTGTGCCCTGTTCTAAGGCATAGAATGACTTGCTCTGCTCTAAGCGTTGGTAGTTATGTCTATGCACAACCTTTTGTCTTGTGTACTTTTAACCAATTCCGGCTCAGATGATCTTTCATGCCATGATGTTAAATTGTCCAGCATTTTTTCTCTCCCTTCATCTTTTCCTCTCCAACTAACCACCCTCATGATGTTCTCCAGTTTTCTCCTTCTCATGCCATGACCAAAGAATGTGAATTATCTCTTTCTGATGTGTCAATGATTTACTTCTGTACATCAGAATAGGATTTATATAGCTCTTGAGAATTCTCTAGGTCATCACAACTAACAAAGAAAGATTGCATAGAATATTTTTCAATTTGTAAAATGCTATCTCAAGTGTCATGACTCGTACCTAAAACAGTGTGGACAAGCATGCCAGTGGAAATCACTGTGGGTCACTCCTGGAGCATCGGCTGTGATAGGTCGCTGACATGTGCTACAAATCTGGATCAGGAAATAAATTATTAATAAATCTTACAGACGGGTGAACTGTTACATTGTTGTGAAGTTAAAAAAAGTCCTCAAAATGTATCTTCTTCTTCTTCATCTTCTTCTTCTTCTTCTTTCCTTAGCATTTAGAGGCTGTAAACTCTGCGGGGAAAGTTCTGGTTGTTTGTCCACACTTAAGATTTGTTCAAAAACTTGAGTTTTGCTTGTACACAAGCAATTTTACAGATCTGGCTTATTTGTATGCAGATTGTTGGTTCCTCGCCTCTAAGACAGATGCACTCCAGTTTCAAAGGAAATGCCCCTTATTAGTCTAGTTTTATGACATGCTTGCCTATTCTTTATTTCCCTTTAATGGTGCCATGGAACCCACACGGGACAGTGCCATTCAACTTTTTTCATTTAGTTTGGTGTCAAGTCATCATCACTATTATGTGGCGTGCTGGTAAGCATAGGCTCCCATGTTTTGCCATCTTAAATGATAACCAGAATCACAGATCAGTTCAATGTTTTAGTCTTGCCCCATCCATCAGGCCAGGTATTTATCTCTTTGCCTCCCTCCTGCTTTCTTTCCATCAATCTTACCAGTTGTTACCAAGTTCCTAAGTCTTTTTCTTCCTTTTTCTTTTTGAAATCACAGCACTCAGGACATTCCCATGTGTGTTTCGTCCTTATCTTCAGCAGCCAGTGCAGACTTCCAGTACTGATGGTACTGGTCATAATCTGGTTAAATGTCCGTCTTGCCTTTCCTATTTTGTAGTGAAGTGAGCCAGCCTGACACTCTGGTTACTCCCAGGTGCCTCATTCTCTCCAGGCCATAATAATCTTCTTTCTATAATGATTCCGTTGCTTGTTCCCAAATGGCTCTTGACCACATCTGCTTTGTCATGCATCAATTCATCACCCAGTGGTGCATATCCAGCCAATCTGTCTGCCTGTTCATTACCCACTATGCAGGTATCAACTGGAGAAACGATCTAAAGTATGCTCACTATCCGTGACCTTTCCAGTGAAGCTTGCCACTCTGTTCGAAGCATTCCTGTCTTCACCTTTTTCAGCATGCTTTCAGAGTCTGTTACAATTATGACATGTGTATGCATCTTGTTCTCTAACGACCGTGGATAAAAATAAGGAAATATCTAGTCAGGCTCATACCGAAAATCGAATGAGCACAGCACCTGCACTTTTTTTAGACATCATTTTTTTTCAGTGCTACTGTAACAGACATTTGTGGTGAGTACCTGTGCCATTTTAGATCCTATGTGGTAAGTACCTGTGCCATTTTAGATCCTATGTGGTAAGTACCTGCATCTTTGTAGATCCTATGTGGTAAGTACCTGCACCTTTTTAGATCCTATGTGGTAAGTACCTGCACCATTTTAGATCCTATGTGGTAAGTACCTGTGCCATTTTAGATACTATGTGGTAAGTACCTGTGCCATTTTAGATACTATGTGGTAAGTACCTGTGCCATTTTAGATCCTATGTGGTAAGTACCTGCACCATTTTAGATCCTATGTGGTAAGTACCTGTGCCATTTTAGATCCTATGTGGTAAGTACCTGCACCATTTTAGATCCTATGTGGTAAGTACCTGCACCATTTTAGATCCTATGTGGTAAGTACCTGCACCATTTTAGATCCTATGTGGTAAGTACCTGTGCCATTTTAGATCCTATGTGGTAAGTACCTGCACCTTTTTAGATCCTATGTGGTAAGTACCTGCACCATTTTAGATCCTATGTGGTAAGTACCTGTGCCATTTTAGATCCTATGTGGTGAGTACCTGCACCATTTTAGATCCTATGTGGTAAGTACCTGTGCCATTTTAGATCCTATGTGGTGAGTACCTGCACTTTTTTAGATCCTATGTGGTGAGTACCTGCACCATTTTAGATCCTATGTGGCGAGTACTTGCACCATTTTGGATGCTGTGTGGTAAGTATTCGCACCATTTTGGATGCTGTGTGGTAAGTACTTGCGCCATTTTGGATGCTGTGAGGTAAGTACCTGCACCCTTTGGATGCTGTGTGGTGAGTGCCGGCACCTTTTTGGATGCTATGTGGTTAATGCCTGAAATTTTTTAACACGAAAAAAATTCTGGATATAAACAAAAAATGTTGTTCAAGTCTTTTTTCATAAAATAAAAGAAAACAACAATAAGAATACGCTACCTTGTTGCATCTTTTCATAAAATTGTTTCTAGAAAGAAGGATTTTGTTTACATTACTCAACCGAAAGATGTAGATTACCAATTTATGATTGTGATATCTAGTTTACTAGCTGAGTGTTCGTTTTCCTTTAATTTATTTCATGTTTCTTGACAAAGGCATTCAATCAAAATAACTGCTTGTATCCTTACCTGTCATTGAGTACTTTTAGTTACATAATTGGTATTAATTGGTTTTAAATATGTTTCTAAAAATGTGTAACAAACATGTTTTTTTTTTCCGATTATAATGAAAACCAATTAACAGTGGTATAATTGTTTAGTGTTGTTAGTTCAGTTATTTTAATTGAGTTGCTAGTAGCAAATTTTATATGGTTACAGACTACAATATCTCTGGTCACTTGGTAACAACAGAAATGAAACTGTCTTGTTAAAATGTACTTAAAGACTGTTTAATTTACTTTCGGGTAAAATGTGTCCTATCCCTTGTTTTCTTCTTCTCGTTAGCATTCACCGGCTGTAAACTGAATTTTGTGTGCACATCCACTTTACAGATCTAGCTTATCTGTATGCAGACTACTGGTTGCTTGCCTCTCAGGAACATGTTCTCTGAATTTAGAGCGAAAATCCCTAATTAGTCACCTTTTATGAAATGCTTGACAAGGTGGGCAGTGGGTTTATTTTTTCCCCCCAAAATGGGGTCCCCGAACCAACATGAAATGAGTCCTGTCCAACACCAGTGCCTAGGCTGGTCAAAATCAATTATGCTCTGCTGGTGAATGCATGAGCCTGTGTTAACTTCTTCTCCTTCTTCTTCATTCCCCTGCTGTAAGCTCTAGCAGGACGTCCTGGCTGCTCATCCATTTGGACTCTGGCTTTGTGCCGGGGTCTATTTTGTTTGTACATCCATTTTACTGGCTAATTTGTATGTAGACTGTTGGTTCCTTGCCTCTCAGGCAGATGCACTCTAACTTTGAAGGAAGGCCTCAATTAGTTGACTACTAGGACATGCTTGTTGGGTAGGCAGTGGACCTGTTCTTGTTTTCTCTACAATTGGGCCCTGGACCGGGAAGGTGGGGGGGGGGGGGGGGGTGGAACTTAATCCATGTGGGTTCTGGGGCCCCATTGTCAGTGGTGGGGAAAAACAGACCTTGAGGTTTGTATGCACATCCGATTTACAGATTCAGCTTCTTTGTATGCAGACTGTTGGTTCCTAGCCTCTCAGCTAGATGCACTCTGAAGGAAACCCCTAAACAGTCAATTCTTTCAACATTCTTGTTAGGGAGGCAGTGGATCTATTCTCCCCTTCTCTAAAATGGGGCCCCGGAACCTACATGGGGAACTTACAAATATGAATATACAGATACAAATATTATTGTTAGGCAATTTGACAGGAACAAACATCTTTGGTCCCAGTCTGTCCCTACTGTGAGCAGGGCTATTAAACTGGCGGCCAGCGGGCTGAATCTAGCCTATGCAGGCCTAACAAGTAGCCCTTGGGTCATTGCCAGTTGTTTTATATTAATGAACTTTCTACGCTGGGGCTCTGGCCTCTGGCCTGGGATGATCCTCATTCTCAAAATGTTGGCTACTGGGTAAACTTAGCTGAACAGCCCTGCCCCACAGTGTCAGCTTGGCAACACACTGTCTCTTTAGCCAGGGATCAGACACTAAATCAACAGGAACAGTGGTACTATTGATTAATTTGTTTATTGTCTGATCAATCCCATCTTTGATTCTTAGCCAAAAAGTTAACCCTTTGGGGACAGAACCTTTTTTGGAGTTTCAACACCAAAAAGACAGAGTCTTTAGGAGGGGATTCTCATAGTTTACATACACACAAATTATTAAAAATAAAGTGTTTAATTAACATATACAATACTGTATATATTCGTGTAGGAAATTGAATGAACTAACACAATCTTTATGAATCACACAGACATCTCAATATTTATTCAAATTAGCTATCAAATTTGCACATTTATGCATGCATATTTTTTTAATTACTTGGCACAAACACGACTAAACTGAGAAATCTGGCTAAGTTTTCTGATGAATGAAACCTGAATAAGTCCTAACACTTGTGTTTGGGAAGCAAGGCCCATGTAGGCCCTGAGGACACCTCTGGCACATGGTGCTACTCATTTTCCTGCCTCCTATTATATTTTGTTTGCTGTAAGGCAACAGTAATTTTCACCAATGATTGGCACAGGTAGCCCCTAAAAAAATCTTTTTAAAAAAACAACTGACGTAAAATTACAGGATGCAACAAACTTTCACGAAGCCACCAATTAACAGTCTTTTTGAAAGCCATTACTGAACAGCCCATATGTACAAGAAATACGAGAACCAGTCTGAGTAGATGGTATGAAGACCAGCCAGCCAATCTCAAGGCTTATATTACCGGGCTGACAGATCGGCCCAGACCTCTTTTTGGTTATTTTGATGTTAGGCCAATAGATTGGTTTAGTTGTCCCCAAAGTGTTGAGAAGCATTAAAAAAAATATTAATTAATTCTTATTATTAAAATAACTCATACTGTATCTGGATATCACACATGATTATTCAATATACATGTATGCGTGTATATTTTATGTTTAATCAGAATTCTGACAATACTTTTGTTTGCCAAAAGGAGTGTGTATTTGAACATAGTAACCCTAACAGTTTTGACCAGTTATTACTGTTCCCTCTTTCCAGGTATTAACTATGACATTAACTATGAGTTAATAAGGACTGCAAAATGATTATTTATTAGTTTAAGCTTGAATGGCAAGAAACCACTTAGTAATACTGAATACACAGTTATGACCATTAGTGTGGATTTATCATGGTTAAGCTTTAAATAGAGTGAAGGTGAAAAAAATGCAAGCACATGCCATTTCTTGTCTCACTTTACTGAAGAGCTTGTCAAAGCAGTTGACACAGTATGGGTTATTGTCCTTGGCAATGTACCTCTGCCCCGCGAGGGCAGCATCGCAGTACCAGCAGCAGAAGTGGTGCACATGCCAAGCCCGACCTTCAGCTTGTGTGTACTCTCTGGAAAATATTATCTGGAAAAACAAATATGTGAGATTATATAAAGCAACACCTAATCAAGAAACTTAACATGGTAAATTTGTTTTTGGGTTTCACATATGTGTTACACTAGGCATCAGTAACTAAGGTGTTGAGAACGTGCTTTGCAATACCAGGTTCGATCGCAGCTGCAGGCAATTTTCCAGCTGACTGCTTTGCATTTTTTTTCTACACTGGTATTCAGAGCTGACTATTCAGACGTAATGGCAAACTAATGAAAATAAATTTGCCTAGAAAATCCTGAAGAGCCAAAAAATTCAGCAATGTCCTGTGAAGAACAAACCACCACCTTTTTAAAAAAAATGCTCTTAGAGCATTCAGTATATCAGCCTGGTCCATGGCTGGTCTGCCCTTCACAGTAGCTTTACCTGCACACCTATCAGCTTGCTCATTTGCTAGCAAGCCTGCGTGCCCTGGCACAAAAATGAAACTGATCTTTCTCAGCCATGACCGCCTCAGAGACACAAACCACTGTCTTCGGACCCCGACTATCTCTACAGACCAACTGGCACTCAACAGGGGATGTTGCAAACATCAATAAGGCCACCTTTACTTCACAAAGAACTTCCTGTTATCCATTTTAGACAGGGTAATCCTGGCAAAACATGATAATGTCTAAATTTTGACATCCCTGAATGGGTTCTGCAGTCCCATTATGAGGGGGGAGGAAGAGGGGGCAATAGACCACTATCTCCCTAACAGGCAGCTCGTATAATTAGACTAATTAGGAAAATAAGGAACCAACAGTCTGCACACAAATAAGCTAGACATGTAAAATGGATCTGCAAGCAAACTCAAGTTTTAGAACAAGACTAAAATCTGGAAGTGGACAAACGACCAGTACTTTCTGCCAGAGTTTACAGCCAATCAACACGAAGAAGAAGAAGAAGAAGAAGAAGAAGAAGAAGAAGAAGAAGAAGAAGAAGAAGAAGAAGAAGAAGAAGAAGAAAAAGAAGAAGAAGAAGAAGAAGAAAAAGAAAATCAAAGGTTGGAAGTATTCATAAATTAATATCTAGCGAGGTTTTCATGATAAGAAAAACTAAAAAAAAATAAGAAAGCCCACATGAGTCACATCCTGAATGTGTTCCACCACGAGGTACATCAAAGACATAAATAGCCATAAAAATGTGTTTGGCAAATTACTTCTGATTTCACATTAGGGTTCCAGGGTTTATTTTGAGGGAGAAAGAATATGCATCCACTGCCCACCACCTCCCCCCCCCCCTCTTCCCCCCCCCCCCCCCCCCCCCCCCCCCAACAAGCGTATAGCAAAAGGTAACAATCTAATTTATTGATCTGCTATAAGGTACAGATATTTTAGTCTAGCTGTAAACCACATCGTAATTTGTTAAGGGTGAACACAGATAAAGAAGAAGAATGAAGAGGAGGAGGAGGAGGCAGAGAAAAAAGGAGAAGAAGAGGAAGAAGGAGAAGAAAAAGAAGAAGAAGAAGAAGGAGAAGAAGAAGAAGAAGAAGAAGAAGAAGAAGAAGAAGAAGAAGAAGAAGAAGAAGAAGAAGAAGAAGAAGAAGAAGAAGAAGAAGAAGAAGAAGAAGAAGAAGAAGAAGAAAAGAAGAAGAAGAAGAAGAAGAAGAAGAAGAAGAAGAAGAAGAAGAAGAAGAAGAAGAAGAAGAAGAAGAAGAAGAAGAACAAAAAGGAGTAGGAGGAGAAGAAGAAGATACTCTGATGATCAGAAGCATCCAGTTGTGCATGCTCCATCTGTGACATTTACTCGGTGTAATCAGTTTGCACGTGTAAGTGTTAGCAGGTAATGAAAATAATAAAATTGTAAGTGGTGATTACAGCTGTTACACACAGATTAAAGCTGTTACATACAGATTACAGCTGTTACATACAGATTACAGCTGTTACATACAGATTACAACTGTTACATACAGATTACAGCTGTTACATACAGATTACAGCTGTTACATACAGATTACAGCTGTTACATACAGATTACAGCTGTTACATACAGATTACAGCTGTTACATACAGATTACAGCTGTTACATACAGACTACAACTGTTACATACAGATTACAGCTGTTACATACAGATTACAGCTGTTACATACAGATTACAGCTGTTACATACAGATTACAGCTGTTACATACAGATTACAGCTGTTACATACAGATTACAACTGTTACATACAGATTACAGCTGTTACACACAGACTACAACTGTTACATACAGATTACAGCTGTTACATACAGATTACAGCTGTTACATACAGATTACAGCTGTTACATACAGATTACAACTGTTACATACAGATTACAGCTGTTACATACAGACTACAACTGTTACATACAGATTACAGCTGTTACATACAGATTACAGCTGTTACATACAGATTATAGCTGTTACATACAGATTACAGCTGTTACATACAGATTACAACTGTTACATACAGATTACAGCTGTTACATACAGATTACAGCTGTTACATACAGATTACAGCTGTTACATACAGATTACAGCTGTTACATACAGATTACAGCTGTTACATACAGACTACAACTGTTAGATAAACGCCTCACCACTGAATTCACTACACACAAAGACCCAGTGAGGGCACATCCCAGAATTCTCACCTCATCACAAGCAAAACACCTGGGGTACAAGAGATCTGCATAGTGCCTCTCGCAGTAGATCTTTCCCTTTTTGCTGAAGAAGATCATGTCCACTAACAACTGTCTACAGGTGGAGCAGACAAAGCAACCAGGATGCCAACAGTCACCAGGGACCTTGCTGACAATCACAGCTGGACTGCCCATCTCCATTTTCTTCTGACAGTTATGACACCCCTAGAAAGAAAGCATCAATGGACTATTTAGCCGTTGCCACCCCAAAAAAAACACACAAAAACTGTAGAGAGTTCAGCTGAGTTCTATGTATTCTTCACGTTCACCAGCTGTAAACTCTGAAAGAAAGTTCTGGTGGTTTATCCACTTCTGGACTTTCTGCTCCAGAACTGGAATTTTGCATGTGTATCCTTCAACAGATTTGGCTTATTTTTAAGCAGACAGTTATTTCCTCCCCTCTCAGACAGATGCACTCTGACCTCCAAGGGCACACCCATATTTTGTTGCCCTTTACAACATGCTTGTTGGGTGGGGGGGGGGGAATGTGTCTAGTGCCCCTTATTCCTCCCCCCCCCCTCTTTTTATCCCCCCAATGGAACGCCAGAACCCACATGGGGAGATTAGCTAAGAACCAACAACACAGCCCTCACGACACTCCCATAAACCCTCTGTCCACACCTTCAGAAGCCAATGCAAAATTCCCATTCTGATGGCATCAATTCCAAGTGTATGGTAAAGGCTGAGGATTTTTTCACATAGACTTATAGTAATTTCCCCTAGTCTCTGGGTAGTAATATCGGAGGCATGTGTGTATTGTTGCTTGCGCACGCAAAAAATCCACTGACGGTTGGGAATTTAAAAAAAGAGTAGCCTAAGGGCGCTGCCTGGGCAAGAAAATGCAGGTAAAAGTCTACTCAAAGTATTTCAGGATCCTCGTCGGTGCTACAGAGTTTGTGCACTGCACTGAGATTCTTCAGATTCAGGCTTGAGTTAGAAGTAGAAGGAGAACTAATGGGTTACCACCTTTGTGCCATGACGTTGATCTATTGTTAAAACCATATTATAATCATCCATTTGAGTTTCTGCACTCTTATGTTATTACAATCAACATCACTGCACACTGGGCATTTCCATGTGTGCTCAGTCCTCCGATGCAGCAGCCACTTCACTAATTGTTCCCACGAGAAGCTGGTTATAATGTTTCCTATCTCGGTCTCAAAGGTGGCAGAGACGTGCTTTCCCATGCTTTATTTGCATGTCCCGCAATCGTGTTAGTGTCAGAGAGTCATCCATGTCCACTAGCCCAGTCCATACAGCGTTGACTATATCTGCTATGTCCATGCTTCGTCTCACTTGGGGCAATGCTTGCCAGTTGGTCCACTCTTTACCCTTTACGCCAGCATGACCAGGTTTGTAGATCCAGGTGAGGGACGTTTAGTCCAATTTTTGAATACTTTCTACTCATTCAGAGCACATACCGCCTGTTGCTTCTGCGATGTTCATATGCTTCCAAAGTGCCTTAATCACACCTAGCTTGTCATGTTCACATACAAAAACAAACACATGCACACACATCCACATCATACACGTGCACTTAAACACGCACACCCATATACACGCACACAAACACACACACATACATTTTGCACCAGATGGGACACATGTGTCACCATCTAAGCACTTACCACCACTGATCCTGCTGAAGTGACCTCACCGATCTGCCCTATACCAGCGGCTTTCTTTCTTCTCCTGTCGGCAAACTTCTCGTACTTCACCATCTCGGAAGTTGCTAGACTGTTACAGAACCGCGGGTCTAGGTCATGCAGAGGAAGCTGTCTCTGCAGCTGCTTCCGGCGCAGGTTGGATGCGAACTCCTGCTTGTCCTCGGGCAGCATGGAAATGAACTTCTGTGATCTCTGTAGATTAGTCCAAGAATACAATTATTTCTTCTTCTTCTTCTTCTTCTTCTTCTTCTTCTTCTTCTTCTTCTTCTTCTTCTTCTTCTTCTTCTTCTTCTTCTTTTTCTTCTCCTCCTCTTCACCTTCCCCCTCCTGCTGCTGCTGCTTCTTCTTCTTTTCTTCTTCTTCCTCTTCTGCTCGTTCTACTTTTTCCTCTTCTTCAAATTCATCGTCATCTTCATTCTCTTCTTCTTCCTCCATCATGACAACAAGCAGGACTCAGTTTCCTTGTCCAAACTGGAGGACACGGGGGTGCAGCCTTGAGCAGACAGACATGAAAATTTCACAGAGGGCACAAGGCGTCAGTTTAATCAACACAGAATGAACGTGATCAGTCGTTCTACTCTTGTGGGGCTATTGAGAAGAGATGGAAGCCCCTATGGATCTGTCCGGAGTGCTGTAATGATAATCCTTACTTATGACTAATCACTTCTTCTTCTTCTTTGCGTTCACCAGCTGTAAACCCCAGCAGAAAGTTCTGGTTGTTCATCCATTTGTGGACTTGAATCTTGTTCCAAAATTTTAGTTTGCAAGCATATCCATTTTACAGATCTGGCTTATGTGTATGCAGATAGTTGGTTTCTCACCTCTCAGGAACATGCAATCAGATTTTAAAGGAAACACCCCCAATTTGTTAGCTTTTATAAAATGCTTGCTGGGATTGCAGTGGTTCTACTCCCCCCCCCCCTTTCCCAACACTGATGCCCCCGCAACCCACAAAGGAAGATCATGGGTTGAAATTGGATTCTTTTTAAAAACAACAACAATGATCAGGGTTTCCCGGTTTATGCAATCTAAAATCAGGAAAAGTGCTGGGTAATAAAGGTGACCAGCATAATGCTGACCATATTACTCATAAAGTGCTGACTTGTGTATAAACATACAGATTCTGGAACTATCTGCTAGGGTTGAACAGTGACTGCTTCTTGACTGACCAGCTGCGTATCCCTAAATTAATATAACATGGATATTCTTTTATTAAATTAATCTGTCACCATGTGGGATGCAATTTTTCAATATTTTGAAGCCCCACCCTGGCTGTTGCTGGGGGCCCTAATACAACCCGCTCTATGGGTTAAACAGGGTTTCTGGGACCAGTCCCCAGGTGATCCTCACCCGAATGGCGGCACTTTGTGTCACCGGGTGTTTGTCACTCGGTGTGATGTCCGGTTGGGGTAAAACGTCAGTCAAATTTATTGTTTCATCAAATGGACTACAAATAAGTGAAGAAAAGACAAATATTAAAGATATGAACAAATAATCAAGCAGATATAACACTAGAGACAAAAGATCAGTTCACTCATTTATAGTCAATTTGATTGTGAAGGAAATACAATGATGCCACACATTAGCAAGGCATTAGCAGCAGTGTTGCCACTTTGGGTGTTTTACATTTAGATTTTGATGTTTTTATTTGCATTTAGAGGGCATTTTTGACGTTTAGATGGTAGATGTCTTTCTAGATGTTTTTATTTGGAGTGAATTTATCAAATTTAACCTAAGAAACAGGATGAAATTTGACCTCTTGAATGCTATCTTGACAATAAAATTCGGCTTGATAAGAGTAGGAAAAGGCTGTTCCACTTATCAGCTCCCTGATTGGGTATTAAAAGAAATTGGAACAGCTAAAGCATACCAGAGTCATTTTGGATCGGAAGCTTCAACTTCATCATCCAACCTAAGTTTATCCTGTGGATCTTGTAAGGCAGACTTCAGTAAAGATGAGGACATGATTCTATAGTGTAAGTAATATCGATTGCTATGTAATTTGTGACTCTTTCCATTTGGATGTTTTTTTAAGATGTTTTTAGATATTTTTTTACTCCGTTTTTGATGTTTTTTGTCAAAGAAAAGTGGCAACACTGATTAGCAGCTTGTAGTAGCTTGAAAAAAATATGGAACTTTAAATTGGGTAGTTTTCAAACCAAGTTACATATACTGAATTCTAATGTTATTTAAATTTAACACATGCCGGCGAAAGTTGGAGAACCACTAAAGAAATTTAACGAAAGTTAAATGCATTTGAAAACAAATGTCAGAGAAAAATGATGAAAATACAATAGGATGAAATCAAAAGGGGTGAAGAAATAAGAGAAATGTCTGGTGAACCATTAAATCAACAGTTTTGAGACAGAGAAGCTGGTGTTATATTAGCCACATCCTGAGAAGAAACCTTAAGAGACTCACCAAACAGGCACTGAAATGGAAAACAGAGGCAAGGATGGCCAAAAGAAACCCTAAAATGAACATTGATGAGAGAGGCCAAAGGATTCCATCCATAATATTGAACTGACAGAACAGGATAGAACAGAATGGAGGAATAGACTGCGAACCCTACCTGATATATAATGGCCCAACAGAAGAATGATGATGATGATGAAATATTCCGTTAGATAACCATTCACTATAACAGAAGATATCTGTTATTAATGTCAAAAATCGAATGCAAAAACTGTACCAGAAAAATACAAGCAAGCTTAATATAAGCTTATACAAACAATAATACTTCTTCTTCTTCTTCGCGTTCACCAGCTGTAAACTCTGGCGGAAGGTTCTGGTTGCTCGTCCACTACTGAACTGCAGTCCTGCTCCAGAAGCTGAGTGTTGCGTGTGCATCATTTTTACAGATCTCATTCTCTTGAATACAGACTGTTGGTTCCTTGCCTCTCCGGCAGATGCACTCCGACTTCAAAGGAAGCTCCCCAATTAGTCGACTCTTACGACATGCTTTTGGGGAGGCAGTGGGTCTATTCTTGTTTTTCCCACAATGGGGCCCTGGAAACCACACGGGGGACAATAATACTGAACCCTATGGTTGTGAACGCAGTCATATAATTCTGACACCAGCTTCGAAATCAGCTGCTAAGAATGTGAAGGACACAGCTTTGCACTGAATTCAACAGGAGTATGAACGTTGTATGTTCGTAAGATAACGGCAAAATGGTGAAAGTACGGTTGCCTGGTAAAACAACAAAAAGGCAACACATGCTGGAGTTGCTTTGCAATGATCTGCAAACACAATCTTTTCCAGGATTGCAATATGTAGAATGACCACCCCAACATTTAACTGGTAACCCAACTGTTATGTAACTTGTATGGAGTCATGGCTGGAAATACAGACTATAACTCTTTTAGCTGTCACCTTGTGTGGGTTCCTGGGCCACATTGTGAGGAAAACAAGAATAGACCCAACAAGCATGTTGTAAGAGTCAACTAACTGACTTCCTTCAAAGTCAGAGTGCATCTGCCTGAGAGGCAAGAAACCAACAGTCTGCATACAACTAAGACAGATCTGTAAAACAGATATGCACACAACACTCAGGTTCTCAAACAATCTAAAGCCCAGGGGTAGTTAAACAACCAGAACTTCCTGACAGAAATTACAATGTACTTTTACGATCCCTAAATCACAGATGCCAAGCACTCTAGCAAGACTTACCACATTTTCACTGATGAGTTTGCTCATGACCACATCGTTCTGTGGGACCGTTATCTGGGTTAAATCTCCAGGATCGATGATTGACAGCTTCTGGAATTTAGCTGTCCAATCAGGTTTGGAATCGGAAGGGGGCGGTATTGATTCGCAGGACTGAAAAAGCATGCTCATTGGACGGCAGTCTCGCTGTTGGCATGATGGCATATCGTGGTCTTCTGCCAGACATCGACAATTTTTGCAGATTTTTCTGAAATTTGACAAATGAAGTGATGTTGATTTAGAAATTGTAAATAGGTTTTGAAATGGTCATTGATGGTTTTCAGTCTCAACAACCTACATATAATTAATACAAATTAGAAAACTCCACAAGGAAGCATACACAGCAGTTTCCTTTGAGGTCGGAGTGCATCTGCCGGAGAGGCAAGGAATCAACAGTCTGTATTCAAGAGAATGAGATCTGTAAAACTGATGCACACGCAACACTCAGGTTCTGGAGCAGGACTGCAGTTCAGTAGTGGACGAGCAACCAGAACTTTCCGCCAGAGTGTACAGCTGGTGATCGCGAAGAAGAAGAAGAAGACATACACAGCAGTAGTCTACCTGTCATCAGTTAAACATTCTCTGTCGAAATTGTTTCAGCCCGTTACCATCCTAAACAATTTTGGAAGTTGGGCCAACCTGGGTCATCACGCCAGGCCACAGAACCTCCTGCTGCACTAACTGGGACACATATGGACAAAGCGAAGGTGATTCAACAGGTATAGTGAGATTTGGTTTTATGTATTGTCCCTGCGGCAGCAATTTGGCCGCCTACCTTCAAGGTCGATGGACAAGCAAGATTTGTCGCACACCACAGCTCCACATAGAGTGCGTCTACCATTCATGTGGTTGTGCTATTTTTAGACTATTGTTCAACTTAGCAGTTGGCAGAGAGACACTGGTGGACACTTGGGATTTTGGCTTTTGAAGGTATGTTAAGTTCTTTCCAAATAGGTGCTCAGACCAGTCTACCGAAGCCTGTCCTCCAGTCAGCTCAGACAAATATCGATGGAGCGTAGGCAACCTTGTTTAATGAACCTTTTTAAATCAGCCCAGCCTTGAGAAAGTGCATGGGGGTAACGTAGGACTGGCCCTCACATTGGCCCTCATCCTGGCTCAGTCCACAATTTCTGCTAGCTTCTTCAGGACTTTATTGTGGCACCATGTATTCCGTCCCTGGCGTAGGGCTTTCCTGCATTCTGACAATATGTACTTGAGGGTCTGCTTCGCTTTGCAGATGGGGCATGTCAGGTTGGTAGTCGAATGCCATTTCAGCACATTGGCACTGGAGGGTAATACGTTGTAAGCAGATCTGATTCCAAAGCTCAGTCGCATGGGGGGGGGCATTCGCCAAAATTTCACCCCATGTGAGTGTTCATGGCAAGGCAAGTCAGATTTGTTAAACGGATGTGCAGGCAACACTCAGGTTCTGAAACAAGACTATACATAGTCCAGAGGTGAACAAACAACCAGAACTTTCTACTGGAGTTTACAGCCAGTGAATGTGAAGAAGAAGAAATATCTCAGCTTTCAGGAGAGGATGCTGTTTATGAGCCAGTTTTCCTTGACGTTCAGATCACGCAGAATGTCTGCGTTTTTATTCCTCTTGGTCTATGGTAATCTAAGTATGTTTCTGTAGCATTTCAGTTCAAAAGCTCCTATTTTTTTCTTCAAAGAACACATAGTGTTCTTCTTCTTCTTCGCGTTCACTGGCTGTAAATTCCAGCAGGAAGTTCTAGTTTTTCATCCACCACTAGACTTCAGTCTTGTTCCAGAACCTGAGTTTTACGTGCACATTCATTTTACATATCTGACATTTTTGGTATGCAGACTGTAGGTTCCATGCTTCTCAAGCAGATGCACTCCATTTTAGAAAGTAGTTCCAAGTTAATCGACTCCTACAGCATACTTGTTGGGAGGCAGTGGGTCTGTTTTTGTTTTCCTCGCAATGGGACCTCAGAAACCACATGGAACACACACAATATTCATAAATTAGGCTTCACTTCGACTCAGGGTGAAATAGTGAGTACTCACCGGAAGTAATGTAAGTCGAGCCCTGGGCAGTTGTCCGTACATTTCAGACATCTGGGCCCATTTGAGTAGGCCATGTGAACGGGGACCTGCAGAAACAAAAACAACATGTAAATTGTGGTTATGTTGACCCTTCTGCTGGTTCTATGTTTACTGTAACAAAACGACAGTTTCTCAGCTAGTCACAAAGTAAAGGCAATGTATTTCTTAGTGGCAATACAATACATATGTTAATTATAATTGTTGTAGCAAAAACACTGTTTTCCTCTTCATCCTCCTCCTCTCATCTACCCATCTTTCTTATTCTTATTCTACTACTATTACTACTACTGCTGCTGCTACTACTAATAATTTTACTACTACAACTACTACCATTACTACTACTGCTGCTGCTGTTGCTTCCAATACACCACCACAACTGCTACTGCTGCTACTACTTCCTCTCTCTCTCTCTCTCTCTCTCTCTCTCTCTCTCTCTCTCTCTCTCTCTCTCTTTCTCTCTCTCTCTCTCTGTCATTCTTTCTTTCTTTCTTTCTTTCTTTCTTTCTTTCTTTCTTTCTTTCTTTCTTTCTTTCTTTCTTTCTTTCTTTCTTTTTCTTCTGCTTCTTCTTCCTTTTTCAGCGCTTCATATCTCAACATACATCCAGTTATTTGTAAATGCGTTCACGACTGACTGACTAGATCATTTCTACTTTCCGATGCTGCTGCTGCTCCTGTTTGCCTTTCTGAGCCGGCGCCGTTTACCCCACGCATGGTAGATGACAACAATACTATTCTTCGCCTGTCTTATCAGCCCCGGAGACACACACCTTATTTTTAAATGATGTGTTGACGGAAAGAGCGAGAGATTATCATTCTTCTTCTTTTAATTCATCTTCGCGTTCTCCAGCTGTAAACTCTGGTGCAAAGTTTTGGTTGTTCTTCCACTTCTGGACTGCAGTCCTGTTCCAAAACCTGAGTGTTGCGTGTGCATACGTTTTACAGATATTACTCACATGTATGCAGACTGCAGGTTCCTTGCCTCTCAGGCAAATGCACTCGACTTGGAAGGAAGCTCCCAACAGTTAGTCAACTCTTATGACAATCGTTTGGGTAGGCAGTGGGTCTTTTCTTGTTTTCCCTATATAGGACCCCGGAACCCACACAGGGAGTGTACAATTCAAAGGGGAATATTTGCACCCACTGCGTTTTATTTCCATTTTATTTCCATTTTATTTTTAATTATGCAGTCAGTCCCAGTAAACAACTTTCCGTTCGAATTTTATTTCAGTTTTAACATGTGCCAATGAAGGCTGGAAAACCACTACAGACATATAACAAAAGTTAAATGCATTCAAAAACATCTGCCTGAAGAAAACGATAAAGATAAAACGGGATGAATTCAAGAGGAGTGAAGAAATTAGAAATGTCTGGATGGTCGCTTGTATGAACAGTTAGTTATAAGACAGAGAAGATGGCGCTATATTTGACACATCCTGAGAAAAAAAAAACCAGCAGAGAATCACTAAAGAGGCACTGGAATTAGAAATAGAGGGACTGGGGAGGCCAGGGGGTTCTTTATTAATATCTTACCCCCAGATGACATCACAGGACAGTCCAACATTTTCAGGGTGGCAAGACTGGGTTTCCCGGCTTTCTGGTGCTTTTTACGACCCCAAAACATTTAGGACTGGCCCTAACCCCAACTCACCTAGGTCCCACGAGAGAGTGCAACCTAGGTCCCACGAGAGAGTGCAACCTACGTCCCACGAGAGAGTGCAACCTAGGTCCCACGAGAGAGTGCAACCTAGGTCCCACGAGAGAGTGCAACCTAGGTCCCACGAGAGAGTGCAACCTAGGTCCCACGAGAGAGTGCAACCTAGGTCCCACGACTGCATGCAGCCTATCTACCACCCCCTGAAATATTAGACTGTTGATGCAAAGATGCAAAGGTTAAAGTTTAAGGTTAAAGTCGAAAAGATCGACTTCATTGCACTGGGTTTTTTCCAAAGAACAGCTAGCCGCCTGCCGAGAACGCCGTAGCTTCAGCGACCTTCAGAGTGCGCAGCAAACGGCTTGACCACTTCGCCATGGAAAGCTCCTTAAGATGCAAAGAATAGTAATGGACAGGACGAGGATACTCAGTGGACCCGAGGACCACCTGCAGAGGGACAGTAGAAAGGGAAATAGGAAGGGGATGTAAAATGACACAGGATACCATAGGGAGAAAAGCAAAAGACCGACAGCTAGGGTGATTGATCACTTGAGGTCTAAACAATGGATCAGCATCATGGTACACGGGTAGTTACCCATAAGTGCTGCTCCGTTCTTCTTCTAACTCAAGTCCGAGTCCAAAGAAGCTCAGCACATGCACAGGCTCTGTAGCAACGGCGAGGATCCTGGAAGATTTTTAGATCCAAATTTTGCCCGGGCAGCGCCGTTATGCTACTTTTTTTCGATTTACAACTGCTAAGGGATTTTTTATGTGCGCAACAATGCACACAGGTGTCCAGTCTCACTACCCAGAGACCAGGAGGGATTTACTAGAAGTCCAAGTCTACATGAAAAAATCCCAGCCTTTGCCGGGGATTGAACCCGGAACCTCTAGCACTCGAGGCGGACACCGTGCCTCGAGATCACTAGTGAATGTCTTATGTGTCAACGACAACAAAAGGAGGATTTAGAACAGTAGCGAGAACTGAACAATTCGTAAGTGTTAGCGTTAGCAGGTAACGATTACACTGGAAAGGGTGTGACTGTTTTTCCCCTCGTCGCTTCACTGAGCATAAGCGTGCGCAATTAGAAATGTAGTACTAGTAACTGGTAGCTTGCACAAGTTATCGTTTTTGAATAAGTTGCACATGTATGTAGCGAGCGTCCTTTTTCTCGTTGTTCTAGACTTAAACTAAGTTGCGTGTTTGTAATAAAATGTCAGCAGTAATAATAAATAGTGAAAAAAATGTTTCCTTGCCAATGGAAAACGCCAGCTGCGATTACATGTGTTAAATGCATGTATCGATACTGATAAAGAATACAGAATGAGCTTATATAAATGCAAGTAAATCAGTTTGCAGCCTTAGGCGAGAAGCCAGTAAAAACTATACCCCCCCCCCTCAACACACAGACACGTGTGTAGGTTCCCCGACCCCAGTGGGGAAAACAAGAATAGACCCCTAGCGTCCGCAATAAGTATGTCGTAGGAGTCAACTAATTGTGGCTCCCTGGACTGAACTGAATTTCTACCCCACCAGGACATCACACAAGCGATAAACACCCGATGACACAAAGTGCCACCATGTGGATGAGGATCGCCGTGGAGAGGTCCCAGAAACCGCGTTCAGACATTTGGCCATATAAGTAGTATATCAGCGTAATACGGGCCGTATTTCGATTAAGCCGCCTTCTTTATCCTTTGTAAAAGATGGCGGCCAAATCTGCTTGGTCTGTTCTGGCGGCTTTATATATCCTTAGTAAATATCGATCGGGCGGCTGATGACGGCACGCGTGCTTGGTTTAGGGAAAGGTATAGGAAATCGATACTTTGTAGGCATTGTTATCTTCATAACTGCAGGTGACAGGTGGCGTTATATAAATGGTGAGGTCAGGAACACTATTTAGGTGAGCAGCGGGGGGCAGGTAGGGCAGGGGACCCGGGGCGACAGGGCGACTAATAGAGTTGGTGCGGGTTTATGTGGGTGTCTGCATATGTGATTGTATGAGGGGAGCCGTTTTAGACTTGCGATAAAGAAAACCTAGGAAGGCGACGTGGTGACCGGGGATATATTAGAAAGGGCAGCTTGGGCACCGGCATCATCATCATCATCTGTATCATGGGAGCGAAGGTTGACCGCTCATGGATGGTTTGAGCTGTAGTAAAAAAGGACGACAGAATGCTGGGTGTCTGGTAATACTGTGGAGGGTCGAAGAGAAGGGGCATAATTGGCAGACTATCTGACTTTGTAAATAAGTGGGCGAAGGTTCTGATTGGTCAGTAGGCTTCAGTGGTTATTCTGCTGGAACAGTCGATTTAGGAAAAACTCGGCAGTTGGTGTCGCTCAACGGGGTACGCCCGCCCGTACGCACGCACGCACGCACGCACGCCCGCGGGGGGTCGTTTTAGGGGATAGATACAGAAACCTAGGAAAATGGTTTGATGGTAGGGAGAAAGTGGGGCTGGGGCGCCATCAGCATCATCATCGGCGTCATCGTAAACTGTCCTTCTTCTTAGTAACGTTAAACCATTCTTGGTTACTTTCTGTTTCGTAAATTAGAGACTAATAGATAGCTGCGGATAGCTGGCTGTACCTGTATAAGGGGATATATACATAACAACTAAACCATTATTTATAACTAAGACAAAAATAACAACACAACAATATTTTTGCGTTTTATATTTCTTTTATTCATAAAATTAAAAGTTGGCGCAGACATCTTCTCTTTGCAAGTGGCCAAGGAACCGAGTCATCTAGAGAGACAGCAGGTCGGTTGTTCTCGACAGTCTCAATGTGTCGGATGACATGATCCGGTATATATTCGTCCGTGTTGTGGCTGTTCTCGTCAGCGTAGGGTTCTGTGATCCTAGGTGTAGGCGGGTAACAAGGAATGGTTAGCAGCTCCAGTCGATCAAACTCTGTCAGGATCTCCGTCTTTAGTTCAAGTAGTTGTTCAAAGTCTAGGCGACTTAGTGTCAGTCCTGTTTTGGTGGGAAATTTGAGATCTGTTTTACCAAAGAAACGTCTCAAGTGGAGTGCGGGTGTTCCTGTATAAAGCGAGACTGAAACAGCGTTCAAACCAGCACCCAAAGGTTTCACCACCTCGTCGCTCCTAGTCACATACACCCAACTGGTCGGGACTGTAGACATCTTCGGTTAGCGGATAACGGCGGCAATAAGATGACGGTTGCTGCTCAGGCTGTTTATATACCCACAGTGAGCTTGTAGAACCGGTTTAAACTCGACATGTCCGGACTTGTTTTGATGATTAAGGGCGAAACGAGGCGCCAAACTATTCGATCGTTGACGTATTGTCTATATGAAGACGAAAACGGCTGTAAAACTCGGCGCAGGCGACCACCGCGGCATTTAATCAGAATAAAATAAATAACGTATAG